AGATCTATGAACAAGAACTTTCAACTTTTCACATTAACATGAATGATAAAACAGTGGATAGTTCTCAAAACAAGAAGGTTGCATTAAATTGTGAAATGTTAGTAAGCAATCCTTATAACGTTTATACCATTAGCAGCGGCTAAAAAGATAGATCTTAGAATAACACAATGCAGAAGTCTGTGAATTCTTCTAAAGTGCTCAAGTAATGATAATCAACAGTTAAAATCAAGTAATAATGAACATATAACATGTAAAATTTACTGTCATTCAGAAATACGCTCATTAGATGCACAAGATTTTTGTTGTGGTGTATAATTCAAATATATCACGCCTTGAAACCAATTTTGTGACGTAATCGAAAGGAGCGAATAATTGGAGTCTCGAACAAGTTAATCTACTCAAAATCCTACTCCCAAAATCTCAACAAAATTTAATATGTTATCTCCAACAAACATATTTACCTCAATAAATGGTTTCTGATAGGAACAGAACAAAAGGAGCAGAAGTGGCAGTAAGGTCGACGTATATATGTAATTTGTATAGTGATATTGCTGTTGCCTTCCCTACTGTAGCTAACGAACAGGATTTCCTTCCTCTGTGAGTTCGGTTAGGAGCTGTACAGCATGAGAGATGAGGGAGGCGAGCGAAGCTTCGGTACAGGAGTATGCGAATTTTGGTTCGTAGAGGAGTGCGGGGGTTCTGTTCGCAGAGAGCAGATGAGCTTCGATCGGGCAAGGAAGAGGTGAGCGAGGACTTCGATCGAGCGCGAGAGACCAGCAAGAGCTTCGATCGGGCAAGGAAGAGGTGAGCGAGGACTTCGATCGAGCGCGAGAGACCAGCAAGAGCTTCGATCTGCGGGAGACGGGTGCGAGGTGCTGCGGCTTTGGTGCGGGGTGTGGGAGACGGGTGCGGGAGACCCTAGTGCCGATGGAAGGAATCGGGCGAGAGAGAGGAGCTCGGCTTCGTATGTTTGGCGGCAGAGGGAGGAGTAGTCGATCGTGAGAGTCCTCGGTGGAAACCGTCTCAAGCGAACAAACACGATCGAGCGGGAGAGGAGCGGGATCGAGGGAGGCGAAGCGAGCTGGGGGAGATGCGGAAGTGGGAGGCAAAGCAGGTCGTGGTCTTCGGATCGTACGCGGCAGAGGAAGGAGCAGTCGGACGAGTCGAGCAGGAGAGACGCTTCTTCGGTCGAGCAGAAGAGCAGAGGAGCGGGAGAGGGTCGCAGGGAGGAGGCGAGTGCGGGAGAAGTTTTTCGGCTTCGGTGCTGGAGACGGAGGCCGGGGGGAGGGGTCAAACAGGGGGTCTGTGGTTTCGGTGCGCGAGAGCGAGAGTGAAGCCAGGTATCCTTCTTTTTTTTTGAACAGGAGCGGGGCCGAATTAATCTAAGAAGCCGTTACATTGGCGGGGAATTAAAAGACTTCCTAATTCAGGGAGGATTAAATGGAAATATTTAATGCGGCATTAAATCATAAATTTGAATTTTAAAATTTGAAATTTGAAATCTGTGGGCTGAAGTAATTAACCCATGCTTAATCCATATCGAGCCTGAATCGAACCCGGGTCGGACCTGGGCAGAGTCCGGGCCCGCACACCATTAATAAAAAAAAGTGCATCGATTTTCGTGCAAACTGTGTGCGCGCGTAACCCCAGCAATATGGGTGTCCTTTCTAGCTAAATTCGACGTCCCGGACGCGTCGGCGCTGTCCGTTTTGTCATCCGGGGTCGTCCGGACGAGTTCGCTGACGGGCGAGTCGATTTAAGCCAAAATCGTGTGTGGTGCAGGGAGTGCGTGAAAAGCGGCGTTCGCGAGTAATCGAGTCACAAAGGGTTCACCCAAGGCTGTTGATCCTATAGGAACTCAATTTCGGGCCCTCTACATGTTGGTCCTTAGCCCTTACAACTAGAAGTTGAGTGCTCGGAACCACTCATGCGAGTTCTTCACAAAAATGAGTCAAGAAGTGGCTTGAAGTTCTACGGGAGGTGGGCTCCATTGCTAGTCCGCTAGGATTGTCAATAAGAACTCCTAAAGCTAGATCCTAGGTTCTAAGAGTAGAAGACTAAGACCTCACTAAAATGAGGTCAACAACCCAACATTCTTATTTAAGTGAAGTGAGGTTTCTATCATAATTGAAACCATAAGCCATGATCTCTATGTTTGAAAATTACTTAGTTACTACGGAGACAACCTAACCATTGCTCTAGATATCATATACGAAATATGAAACCTTAGGTTGTTCTTCACAGCTAGAATATCCAAATAAATAAATTAACTATCTGAAAATTAAATGTTAAAGTACATACCGAGTCTATCCCAGGAACAAGACCATAGATGTTTTCCAAGTTTTCAACAGCTACGTACTCTCCTTGTGAAAGCTTAAATATATTTTTCTTCCCAATAATTTTCAAGCTTCCATCTTTTTGCCACTCACCGACATCCCCTGAGCACAAATATTTAAAAAAAGAAAAAGAAAAGAAAAATGGAATACTTTAGAGATCAAGATTATCCATAAACAAAAAAGAAATAAGTTCGCATGATCAATACGAATCATGCAACAAAATGACAGACATTACTATAATCTAAATCAAAATCTTAAAGGCTTGTTAATTTGTTGGTTACACACAAGCAAAATAATGAAATATTTGAAAGAAAAGGATTACATGAGTAATATGTCAGGTCAAATTTCAATACAGTAAACGAAAAAAAATTGCTTATTTTAGCAGACAAAAAAAAATTATATATATAGTCAATCATATTTAGTAAATTAGGAGAGATTGTTTCCCTATATATAAGTATCCTACATGTAAATAATATAATTAAGAGAATTATTCCTTTCCAAATTAGTTCTCTACATGATATTAGAGATATAGATCTTATGGTAGCCACTGGACCTCCTGCCTGGTTGAATCCCTGTCCTACAGCCAATCTCCTCCCCACAGGCCCATTTTACTTGAGCGATACGTATTTTTACGTTTACAAACTAGTGACTATTTTAAACTAAGAATATATATATATATATATATCACTAGAAACACCATAAAATTAGGTTTAATCAACAACTTCAACAGCAAATTAGTATGTTTTATCACTACCAGAAGACAATAGGTTGCATCTCAGAGAATCAGACCTGTGTGAAACCACCCATCAATAAGAACTTCATTTGTCAGGTCATCCCGCTTATAATATCCTGAGAACAGAGTTTTTCCCCTGACACAAATTTCTCCCCTTGGTACATCTGAGAGGGCATCGTAATCCATTTCAGGAACTGATTCAAGACGTACATCAACATTCGGTACGGGTGGACCCACAGTTCCAAGCATTGAAATCTCATTTGGAAGTGATACAAATGTTCCAGCACAAGTTTCTGTCAGACCTACAAGGAAATCAGAAATATTACACTCAAAATAAGTCAAAAGTCATTCATGTTCATCATTCCGATAGCTGAATAAAACCAATATTTATTCAATGGTTGATATTTCCAATCGCAAAGAAAATAACAAAAATAACATAATTTGATCCATTCATATCAAGATATAGACTTCTCTTGGCATTATTGTTTTGTATTGTGCTGCCAACTAAAAGGGATGGCTATCTGGTAAATTCATGTCAAGATTGTTGTCGAGAGTGTTGTGAGTGTTATGATTGATAAGTAAACATTTTTGTGGCTAATATGAAATGATGGAACTGCTGAAATAAATATGAATATAAATTTAATAATTATAATGTCATCTCTCTCTCTCTCTCTCTCTCTCTCTCACACACACACACACACACACACACACACACAACACATGTGTGTAGATATATGTATTAGCTTGTTAATTATTTAGATAAGAAAGCTAAGGATCAAACATAGCCTACCATTATAAAAATATCGTTTTTCTTACACTTTCATACAACCAGATTTTCCCTCACAGATCATTTTTCAAACAGTCTAAAACTGTTTCTTCTTCAAGGAAGAAATGGAGCCATAGATAAGAGCTAACCTAGATCCATATCTACTAAATAAGATTTATTTCCTATAAGACTTTCTCTTAATTGCCAATCAGCAGTAAACTACAATCTCTTCAATAGTACAAGTCAGTTAATGCTGCATATTATCAAAGGGACTTATCTATTATGGATTCTTGAGTTACTAAAAAGTTTTTGTAGCCCTAACTCTCTTGCACTTAACAAGTTAATGCACATCAGCAATTAGAAAACTTCATGAAGCTCTGACTTTTAATTTTTTCTAAAAGTTCATGACACAGCTTTAGATATTACATATCATCTTTTGAGCAACAACAACAACAAGTCTTTATCCCACTAAATGGGGCCGGCTACATGAATCTATTTTTCCTCTCATGTCCTATTGAGTGTCATATTTTCATTTAATTCTAATAAATTAAGATCAATTTTTATACATCATGCCCAATTCTTTTTAGGTCTACCTCTACCTTTCATAAAATAAGTCAAATCTAAAACATCTACTCTCCTAACTAGATCATCAGATGATCGATTTTTAGTGTGACCAAACCATCCAAGACGACTCTCTAATCTTGTAAGCCACTGGAGCTACACCAATTCTTTCACGGATACATTGTTTTGCATTTTGTCTCTAAGTGACAAGCCACTCATCCACCTAAGCATTCTCATCTCAAAAACACTTAACTTAGTTTTATGCTTCTCTTTTCTTCTCTTTTAAACTCTTTTAAAGGCCAACATTTTGTGCCATAAAACATTGCAGGTCTGACCACCAAATTACAAAATTTTCCTTTAAGTCTAAGTGGTACTTTTCCATTACACAATAGGCCCGATGCATTCCTCCACTTCAATCATCCAACTTGAATTCTAGTAATAACATCCGTAATAACATCCTCATCTATATCCATCCTCATCTATATCACCATCACTTTGAACAATAAACCTGAGATATCTAAAACGTTCATATCTTTTAATAATTTGATTACCCATTGCTGCAACTCTGCTATTATATCTACTACTACTAATAAAATTACATTCCATGCATTCAATTTTAGATCTACTTAAATAAAGACCTTTAGAATCTAATGTAGACCTCCATAATTTAAGTTTTTTTTTTCTGAACTCTTTCTCTAATCTTATCCACAAGAAGGATACCATCAGCGAAAAACATACACTAAGGTACATCCTCTTATAAATGTTCAATACGAGCATCCAAATCTAAAGAAAAAAAATTTGGGCTTAAAACCGGTTCCTGATGTAGTCCAATTAAAATAGTAGAATACTTCGTCAATCCTCCTATTTGAACCCAAGTAACAACTCTAGTATAAATATCTTTAATGACTTGGAAATAAATCATGGTAATACCTTTCTTTTTCAGAACTCTCAAAAGAACTTCTCTTGGAACTTTATCATAATCTTTTTCTAAATCAATAAAATTCATATGTGGATCCTCCTTACTCTCTCCATACTTCTCCCTCAAACCCTTTAATAAATATATAGCTTCCATGGTAAACTTGGCCGATATAAATCCAAATTGATTAAGAGAAATCATTGCATCACGTCTTAACCTATGTTCAAATACTCTCCCATAATTTAAATGAAAGACATTTAATTTTTCTATACGTTGCACACTCTTATGCATCCTCTTTATTCTTGAAAATGGGGACAAAAATACTCTTCCTTCACTCCACAAGCATCTTTTTAGCTTGTCAAAAAATATTTAAAAAGTTTAGTATACCACACTTCTATTGGGATACCATCAGGTCCTACTATTTTTCCACCATTGATTTTCTTTAAAGTCTCATCTTCTTTTTTACTAAAATAACGCTAAAAATAAAAAGTTTTATTATTATTAACGATATTAAGATTGTTAAGGTGGATAAAATTTTCAAAATTTCATTAAAAAGATTATCAAAATGTTATCTCACCCATCTAATGTTGGAAATCTTCCTCTAAGAAAATCATTTTTTGTTTTTCATCTTATATACACTTTAATTGAATTAAATCATGTCATGATCATAACATGATAACATCGCATGTATCGTAAGAAGAAACAACTTACATTTATACATTCAATGCATATTCATCCACATTAAATGCATCAATGTCAACGTAGGATCATATGAAAACCTATAGTAGATTATCTTTCTTAATTTAGTATAATATTATTTCACCTGGCTTGACGAAACAACCCTACAACGAGTTTCCTCATGCTCGCCTCGAGCTTGCCGTCTCATATGAACAACCTGAAATTCGTAGACATTATATGAATTCATGAAATGTGGGCTCATATCGTGATTTAACCGAAAACATAACTTATTTGCCAAAAAATACCTCCTTGAATTAATAAATGACTCTTCAATTCAACCTTTGTTAATTATTAATAGTAAGTTCTATTAATTAATGAAAGATATTAAGAAATCGAGGAAGGTTTGCTCTCTAAGGCTTGCAAAACTGAATTGTGAACTTTATTAAAATAAGAAAGGAAAGGTATGTTTAAGATTTTATTAGTTTTCAAAATAATTAGCGGGATAAATATATATAATAAATGTTTATATTGGATTCTATAATGCCAAGGATTGAAGAACTGCATCAAAGGATCTAAAATCAAGGAGAGTTGTCACACCAATTACAGTGAGTAATTATTTTCTTATTAGCAATAAATTAATGATTTATTTAGAAGTTGCATTTCAAATTGATCAAAATGAACTAACAATATGATTTTAAAAAAAATATTTAATTCATATTTTGCGCTTTGAATGTTTGAAAGATGTCTCATAAATGGGAAGAAAATAATTGACATATGACAATACATTTAAATGATTTTAACTTAATATTAAATATTAAGTAAAGATTGATTCACCCCCAGATGATACTGGCATGGATGCGACGTACCTGTGCATGATAAAATAAATGAAAATGATAAATTTGTACCTTCAGGTGTAAATTTTTTAGGGTACCTACTGGTACAATTTTAATGATGCATTTGGGTATGACGATAATCCTGATATGGTATCTTAAAATTACGACAAAGGTTAAAAATTTAAATAATTAAATTGAAACATCAAGGGCTAATTGAAATTGAAAGCTTACAGTTTAATGAATTAATGAGTTACATTTATTTTGGTCATTCATGCATAGCATTCATATATTAATTTAATGCATAGTAATATTGTAATTACTCACTAAGTCGTGTAGACTTACTAGTGAATTTAATTATTTCTTTAAAAAATAACTATAAATTAATATGTCTGACAGGAGAAATTTAATTTATAGGATGAGGACTGCAACTGATGGAGATGTTATGTTGTGATGCGACTCTAGTTTTCTTTTTGTACTGTTTACTTCTGTGTAGAGATACTGTTGTGTGTGAATTGAGATGTTTTACTTGCAAACTATATTGTTTATGAATGATTTAAAGTTGGGGCGATTATATACAAGGCACCCGAAAACATTGCTATTTACTAATCAAGCACCCTCTTTCACCCATTTTTCAAATTCTCACTTAAATATCAAAGGTCATGATAAAACCCCAACCCATATTTTTCATTTTTATCAAATTCACAATGGTTTGATCGTGGCACGCGGCGTAAATGGCACGCGTAAATGCATCAATTTCATAGTTCAAAAAACCACCTAGGTGATTTATTTGTAAATAACAATGTTTCTTGTGCTCTGTATGTAATTATCCCTTTAAATTTTCATTTAGTGTATTTTGTGGTTTCTTTATAGTTCTTTTATAAATTGGAAATTATGAAATCCTATGGAACATAAATGAAATGTTAATACCGTTTGACCACAATTCCCGAGTTAGTTAATGCTAGGCCATCAGACCGTGTCGTAACACATACTGTCATTCTAGTATTATCATTATTGGTTTGATATTATTGGTGTGATTTTTGGATGAAGGAATTTGCAAGAATAACAGTTGATTATGTTAATTAAAAATCTAGTATTAATGTGAACATGAGAATGAAATTCATTTTAGATGGAAAAAGGAATAATATTCAAGTGATGGTATATCAAAATTCTGGAAGGATTCTTTGGAAAGCTTTAAGAAATGAACAACAAGAAAGACAGCACCATACAAGGTTGTACAACACATCATATTAAATACTTATGAAATGAAAACTTTAATAAGCTCTAATAGTATTTCAAATTTCGATGTATTTGTTATGTCATTAAAATAATGAAACTACTACCAACGCCATAGCATATTGTTCTTTCCATCCCCTCCTTACGAATTCACATTCAGCGCCTTACTAAATGGATCTAAAGAAGAATTGTATTCATTTTAATGATAGTGGAAATCACAAGTTTCATGCATCTTGGAATGTAGATTCATCGATTAACTTGTTGAAAATGATATAGTTTTTCTTAGATTTCCATGACAAATATCAAAATAATTAAATCTTGGAGTTGAATTTTTTCATGTTGGACAACATAATGAAAATCCTGTTATATTTTCTTTACATGAGACTAGCTTTATTTGCTACATGATCTTTCCTTCAACAGCTTTCAACGTTTTTCAAGACTATAACGTCAATGATTTACGAGACCATAAGAATTAGCAGTATGCAAGGCTATAGCAATCTACAAACCTTTCTTCCATTGGTTTGTTAACCTTTAGTTTAGCAAAAAATAATCTTTTGATTATTAGAACTGTGGGTTGCAGGGAACTTTCTTCCTACAGCACTTCTAGCATTTTGCTACAATGGCTCTTTCAACACAACCTTGCAGTACACAAGATTTTTGTCGTAATATGAAAATATTAAAAGCTGTATTGCCTGAAAAAAAAAATATGCAAACTTGCTTGCAAAAACTTATGTACAATGCGTTGAAATTATAATTGATCAAATCCTATGAGTTCTGGAAAGTTATTGTAATTAGATCATGTTGGGTTACATAAATAATATCCTTAAAGCATGTAATATTAATTGAATGGTTTGATAAAATTCAAGTTCTTCTTTCAGTACTTAATGAGTTTTGTTAGGTGTTGAATCTTTAAGCAATTCATAATCCTGAAGTTTACTTCTCAGGGTGAGTTTCCTTACAACGATATGGGCTTGGATCTTCTATTGAGTGATTTCTATCTTTGTTCTTTTTATCATTTTTTTAGTGATTACTGTGTAAGTGAGATTTTATTGAGTGTAATGAGCTGGATTATTTTATAATAAGAATCATGATCATTGCTGAAAATATATAATTATTATGAATTATTCTTTGTGAGATCTTTAGATTTTTTTTTTTTTTTACTATTACATCTTTATTTGAAATGAAAGAAGCATATTTGTTGTTTTTGCATTAATAGTCCCTAATTTTTGCTAAAATTGAGGGTTGGTATCTTATGTATGGTAAATTTTTTAATGCTTCATTTGTGCATCTCATATTAGGCTGTTGTGCATCTTATGCCTAGTTATTGTAACTGGTCTTGTGCCTCATTGTGCATCTTATGCCTAGTTATTTGTAACTGGCTTGTGCCTCATTGTCAATTACTAAAATAATTAGAAGAAAGCCCTATCCGGAAAAAAAAAAAAAAAGAAAAAGAAGAAAAAGACTATTCAAATCTTTTTGTGTTTATTTTGACTATATTAGTTGAATTATATGTGGAAGTGTAAATGCAAAACAATGAAAAGTTTGATACAGAAGAAACTAATAAATAGGAAAAAGTTACTCATCAAAAGTATTGCACAAAAATTTATTTTTAAGGCAGGCCAACAACTACGATAAAGTGATAAGTAGCAAATTTTAGTAGGAGTATGAAAGATGAAGGGTAAACGATGCACTCACAAAGAAAGACAGTGGAACTGATGCGTGAAATAGAGGAAAAAAATAACAAAATTAATATGGCTAGAAGTAGTTAAAAAGACTTGCATAAATTAGACATATCTTATGTAGCGCTCAATGAGAATAAATGAAGGGTTTGTAAAGCTAAATGCAAATACAAAGGATGAGCGCTCAACTTAAATACCATATGAATAGGGAATACATTACACTGGACAAAATAAGGCTTAACAATAAGGAAAACAAATAACACAATAGTGAATGGTATAAAGCAAGATTAGATTAAACTAATAGCATGCAATAAATTATCCAAAAACCTAAACAATAAAAATATTTGAGTGGGTTGCATAATTTATATTTACCGTAGCCTTGTAAGACGTGAGCACATGTCACAACTCGTAAAAAAGATTCCACATGAGTAGCCAAGGGAGCTGCTCCAGATAGTAGAATGCGAACCCTGCCACCTAATCCTTGTTTCACCTATATAGATAAAAATTTTAGATTTACAATGACGAGGATAATAAATAAGCATTGGGAAGTAAATAAATCTTATAAGACATTTTTGTGCATCTAAAGCCACCTTAGAAAAAACAACTTTGTCAAACAGCCCAGCCGCCTGCTCATGCTTATACCCTTTCTGCATGTTAGAAAGCTTACTGCAAATTTTCCATTTATAAATTTTTTGAACACAATGTTAGAAAAAGATACAGACAGAAGTGCCACAAGGGTAATTAACAGGAATCGCCAAAGAAAACAGAAAACTACATAGCATTAAAATAAAGGTATCATCAAGTACAAATTCAATTGATCATTAGCTTGAAGCGTAGAACAATAGAAAAGTGATGATAATTTATTTTTCTAATTATGGCCCCATTTGGTGAATAAGATACAAAACCTCCCATCCATTAGTGCACCATTTCTTGTGTGTTATGCAAATAAAATGTATCAATCTATGAATCACCAAAAAAATAAAAAGAGAGATTTCAACACAAGTTTATGCACATCATAGCTGATCACACATTCCATCAGGATCTTCACGTAATTATGAATACACAGGGAAACAGGGAGGATGGAATAAAGTTTTAAAAGTGAGATAATTTTTTTTCTTTTGAGTATGTGCAAACGAATTGCTAAAATAAACAAAACATGTGTTATAGCCTATGATGTAATTTCTTTTCAATATGGAGAAAATGAATCCAAACTTATATGATCATAAATGTTTTGAAACTACTAATACTTGAATTGACCTAAAGATGCATAGGCTTTCTGCTAAAGCGCTACAAAGCTTCCAAACAGCGTGAGCTGGAAAAAAATCTGGTCCATTTGACTTTTAAGAATTGGGGAGCTAGGTAATCCTGGTTCACTAAAAATGTAAAACATTAAGCCACCATATACAAATATTAAAATACTCTCATAGAATTTCCATTTACTCATTTTTATTATTCACCGACGACTTTATCCATTCATTATGAATACTAAAAAGAAATGAACGCCTTATTTTAGTTCACATGACTAAAAAATTTGAACATTCAAATAAGGCCATTATCCGATAACATATTCATAAGCCTACCAAAATACAAATAAGGTTATGGGCACCATAAAATACAGTTATAAGTAAATAATTAACTTAAATTTTGACAATTGAAAGATGATAGATGTTTGTTCAATAATATTTTTATTAAAGAAAATAACTTGATTAAAATGAAAATTAATCCAATTCTATCTTATACTTATGAAATGAGAAACTTTTGTTTGGGTTGAACAATGATTTCAAATATTCATCTCATCTTTAAGCAATGTTGCTAATGATATTTTATATATGTTATTACGATAACAATAAAATAAAAACGAGACTATAAATACAAATAAAAAATTAATTAATTAATTACTATTAAAAATTTACCCTATGTAACACCAAAAAATTACTTGTTTAAAGAGTTAACACAAACACATTAAAAATGAACTAACAAAATTCATGTAAAAGCCAATAATAGAAGCACATTAACTTAAACAAATTACTGAGACCAAAAGTTGATATTTTTTGTGATATTCAAAATTTGGATGCCCTCCAACCCACAACACACACACACAAACACACAGATATTTTGAAAAATAAACTGTTATGTTTCAATAAATAACAGTTTTTCATTGGGTTCGAATCATTAAATTGATTCATTAAAAACTTATATATATATATATCCGGTCCTGCCGATTTGAATAACCGGTCTGGCCTTCGCAACCTTGTTGTTTTTATATTTTCTCTGGTACGCCGAACTCTTTTTCTAGCTCTGGGAGTCCGCTTAAGCAAGAATTCTAGGGCTGTGAGGAGGTAGAAGACAAGTATGGATATCATAAAGACGCAGCAGATCTCATCACGTCCGATCGAGAAGGTCATTGTGCACCCTCTTGTTCTCTTGAGCATCATCGACAACTAGCCCCAAAAGCGAGTTGTCGGTGTCCTTCTTGGTAGCTCCTCCAAGGCCGTCGTCAATGTATCCAACAGCTACGCGGTGCCTTTTGAAGAAGATGAGACAGATTCAAGCATCTGGTTCCTGGATCATAATTATCAGGAGGCGATGTTATCAATGTTCAAGAGAATAAATGCAAAGGAGCATGTTGTTGGTTGGTATAGCACAAGCCCAAAGCTTCGTGAGAATGATTTGGACGTTCATGCTCTATTTACTGATTATGGCACAATCCTATCTTGTTCATTATTGATGTCCAACCTAAAGAGTTGGGAATACCTACCAAAGCTTACTATGCTGTTGAAGAGGTTAAAGAGAATGCCACCCAGAAAAGTCAAAAGGTTTTTGTGCATATGCCTTCTGAAATTGCTGCTCATGAAGTCAAAGAAATTCGAGTTGAACATTTGTTGAGGGATGTCAAAGATACTACTGTTAGTACTCTTGTTACAGAGGTTACGAGTAAACTTGCAGCGTTATGCTAGGCTTCGTGAGATAAGGGATTATTTGGAACTTGTAATTGAAGGAAAGCTTCCATTGAATCATGAAATTCTTTACCATTTGCAGGATGTATTTAATCTCCTTCCTAAACTGAATATGAATGACTTGACAAGGCATTTGCTGTGAAAACAAATGATATGGTGCTGGTTATTTACCTTTCTTCCCTTATCCGAAGCGTCATTGCACTACACAACCATATCAATAATAAAATGTTAAACAAAGAACATGAGACAGCCGATGATGTCAAACCTGTTGCTGTATCAAGTTCAGTAGGAAGCTAGGATTTATCTTTGGTAGATATCATCGCAAAGCATTTTCCGCTGGCTATATTTTCATTTGCGCAAAGTTTTCAGTGCTTGAATATGAAGAGGCTTTTTCGGTCTTAACATTTTTATGCGATAGGCAGCCTAAATCTTCAGTGATAGACAAGAGATGTTTACCTTGGCATTCATTTTTTCATATCTTTCCTCCAGTATTTCCTGACATTTATGAAATGTTTCATTTACTTGTGTTCTTTCTTTTTTTTTCCTTCTTTTGATTATATATTCAGTCAATACGTCTTATTTATAATACAAGTAATTATTGATGTGCCAATGGGTCGCGTGTTTGATGCCTGGTTGTATTTCTGATTCTAATATTCGTGTTGAAATGAATGTCATTTCCCTCAAACAAAAACGTATGTATGTATACATATTAAGCTTCTTTTTTAAGAAATTATAAACTTTAGCCACAAATATTGTTAGTCATAGATATATTTATTAAACTATAATCACAACAAAGTGCAACCGAAGTGAAAAATTTGATTAAAGTTTGTAATCATGCTTAGGCAAAGGTTGTTCAACTTAAATAAATCATGTAAGTACTTTTAAGTCGCTAATAAAGAAGTGAGTACTATTAAGTGAATCATTTAACGTTCATACAAGATTATAAATGTATTAATTAAGTTTAATTTAAGTATTTTAAAAACTGATATACATTTGTGAATTATAGGCTATTTATGTGAGGAGGCAAGCTTGAGGCTAGCCTAAAAAAAGCCTCGCCAGGAGACTGACCCAACAACCAACCAATGTGAAATATACAATTGCTAAAATAAGGAGCAAATTTCTATAGGACTAATTTTTGCTACTACTTATAACTAATTCTTTTATTACATGTTTGTATTTAGAGTTTCTTGCATATTGAGCATATCAGATTCAATTAGTAAAGTTTCATTCATGTGGATACTTGCATGCTTAATTTTAGTTCATAATATTATTATAGAAAAACAATATCAAGTATAATTGTTGATTATTACATATCACATTGTATCTCTAATGCACAATAATCGAGTTAATTCTTAACAAAATACATTCATGTTATGCAAGAATAGCTACTAAAAATAATTATAACAAATAAAGATAATCAAGAAAATATCATGTAATTTGTAATACATAAACACCTATATTGACGACTTAAATAGAATAACGCAGTAATTTTGATAAGATAAGCTTTGATAGAGAAATTATTGAATTTTAACCGTTGATAAAGTATGATGCTGGGATGACCAACAAGTTAGATAATAACTCAATGAAATAAAATATGTCAAAACCTATATAAATATAATATGATATCTTTATGACAAAGAAAATGAAAATAAAAGTGAAATCTATGCATATATGACATTACCTAGTGTTATGACTTAAATGACTTGTCAATAGTTATTTTATATATTGCTAATAACATTTACATTGATTGTTTATAAACATGATTTTTTACAAATTAAAATATTAAAGCATGTATATTTATTATTTTAATTGTTATTGATATTAATTACTGAATAGCATGCACATCACTTATTTGGCAATTTTTATCTTATTGAGCATGCAACTCATAAGATATTATATAAGTTTTCGAGGAGGAAAATGACTAGTAGGACAGTTAATCAGGTGTTATTATTTTGTATTGCAATTGAATTTATAATTTTAGTTTTTTATAGAAGATTGTGATACTTAATATAAATACTCTTTTGGTACAAATGATTTTATATTTAAAGTATTTTTTGAGGTTCCGTATTATATTTGACGATTATTAATATATTCTTCTTTACTTATATTTAAAATTAATGAGTGAAGAATTGAAATGTAGGGGTTTATTTTGTGATGATTTAATATGACTACTCCACTTAGTTGATTCTGATGAATACAAGTCATACGTATATATGAAAATTGAATCCGAGTGAGTCGCCCTCCTTTATTACAACTCTAGTTGACCTCAAGGAGTTGACAGAGGTGTCACACAAATTAAGTGGTATCAAAGCAATAATTTGAATTGTAACTTATAACAAAAATGTGAATGATTTATAAGTCAAAATATAGATGAGACTAAAATTAAATTGATTATTGCAGAGCTATCCACAAGGATTTTAAAGTGATTAATGCATGATATATTCTAATAATAATTTTATAGTTAAATATGCCTAAAAAGAAGTCGGAAAGAATAATGATCAATATTCCAAGCAAACTATTGAATTAGAGCTACAAGCAGAGGATACTTCTAACAGAAGTGGAATACAAATTATTAGAAATCAAGCTGGGTCCAATAAATTGCATGATGTTATCTAGTTGATCTCTCATATAGTGAAAACAATAGCTTTTATTGAAAAAGCATCTGCAAGCAGTGAGTCAAGATCAAAATTTGCTACCGAGGATGATCAA